ACAAAACAGCCTGACCTAACTTGTCGAATGAACGCGAATCGAACATGCTGGCAAATGAAACAGTCTTACCTTTGTCGTCCGTGCGTTCATACTCACAGGCCAGTTTTCTGGAAGCTGCGGTGTACAAAGACGTTTTAAACATTTAAAGACTGATCCTTTTTTTTTTATAGGTAATGTATGGAAACTCAATTCGTACCTCACAGGCAACTCATTACGTTTCCGCTATAAAGCCCAACCGGTTAATGCTGTTCGGGGAAACCGCAGCTGTTTGTTGTGAGAACCATGTAAAAATACAAATGCACTCTGGGCGAAACGAAAAGTTTAAGTATGTTAAAACTGGTGGTACGACCGCCTCTGTGGTCTAGTGGTCAGAGTTCTTGGCTATAGATCCAGAGCTCCTGGGTTCGATTACCGGCGCTACCAGAATTTCTGAGAAGTAATGGGTCTGGAACATGGTCCACTCAGCCTCGTGAGGATAATTGAAGAGCTACTTGAAAGGAAAAGCAGCGGCTCCGGTCTAGAAAACGGAAAATATACGCTCGTGGGGATTCGTTGCCATGCCCACGCCACACTCTCTACCGGATAAAGTTGGCAATAACTTTGCCGACAAGCGGCGGTCGCTCGGTCGGTATAGTTCGCTTGCGGAATATAGGCACCGAGTTTTTTTTTTTTTTAAGCAGGTGGTACACACAGTAACCACTGTGTTTTAAAGGGCTGATCTCAGTGATAAATGTTTACAGATTCCTTTCTGTAGAGAGTATTTGAACTATCAACTAACTTACGTAGCTGAGCACTTCTTGAGAAGCCGCCAATTGTGCAGCTACTCATGAACTTTCCAGCAATTTATCGAACCCGAAGGTTCAGTACCTTCTTCACAAGAGCCCTCCACTGGTCCCCATCCTAAGGTAGACTAATCCAGTCCATACCACCCCATCCTATCTCTCTCAGATCCGTTTTAACATTACCCTCCCACCTACGTGTAGGTCTTCTTTCGCCAGCACAGTCATTCTTGGGTTCAGGGCCCTGTGGGACCTATGACCTCTCTCTCATGACGCTCAAGCAAGTATGCAAGCAGTGTACTCGTATTTATGTGTACGTATGTTCAATAAATTTAGAGTCGACTGTACTTGCAACACTGATAACGCGATGGCCCTTCCCACTGCATGTAAACGTCTAGGTCTTGCAGGCACCACTCCCGCGCATGTCTTAGGCTCCCGTGCAAAAACATGGGCGCTTCCGAAGTTTTATATCTACCTTAATGAGAGTTTACTAAAGTTTTTACCCTGAGCAATAACAAGCCCCTGAATTATTAACTCTTTCCACGCTTGTTTCCTTTGTATATTACCATACTGACAAAAAAAAAGACCGAAATTGAAACGAGCAGATGGTGTTCGGTTCGAATCTAGGCAGGGCCACCGGTCTTCCTGACTGAGGTTTCTCGCGATGTTCCTCAGTCCCTCCCGGGAAATGCCGGGATACCTCGATTACGCCACGCCCGCTTCCTTCCAATTCAATATTCACCAATTATAGCACCTTGTCACCACGGCACGGCGCGTCCTCAGGTTGCGGATGGAGGAGACGCCCTCCAGGTATGGGGGGAAGCTGCGAATATACTGAATAAGCAGTCGCGGACAGCCGACAAGGGGTGGTCCTCCAGCTTGGGGGTTGAGCGTGTGGCTAACAACTGCTCACCGTAAAAATAAACTTGTTACGAAAATTCTCAAGTGGCCTCGGATCTGGACGGATTTCTTGGATAAGCGACCTAAGTAACAGCAACATTCTATGCTATACAGCATGAGATACCAAGAGCGTCGCAAAACAGCCCACAACACACGCACAGACTCAGATACTCCTCGGTACTAAAGAGAAGAGGGGTCCGGAGTAGCTCAGACTGGGCAGACTGGGTTCGATTTCCGGCAGGGGCAAGAAATTATTCTCTTCACCACTGCGCCCACATTGGCTCTGAAGTCCACCCAGTCTATCAAATGAGAACCGAGGGCTCTTTCTTGGAGGTAAAGCAGCCGGGGCGCGAAGCTGACCACCTCCATCCAGTGCCGAGGTTAAGAATATGTGGCATACACCTACATTCCTCAATACGTCTTCATGACGTGGTACTTAAAGCACAGGGACAACTCGGGAGGAGGTCTCTGGATTCAGTCTGGCACTTGCTGCTGGTTTCGTGAGGGAAACAAATTTTAACAAAACCGTCTGGCTACATTACAGTGAAGTACCTTGACTTATACAAAATTGAGTTAATTACAATTCAAGGACTGGACTCTTCTGCTGAAGCCTCAGCACTGTAACCAACGCAATCCGGAGTCTCTCTCTCTCTCTCATTCTGCATAACCCTGTTTCTGTTTGCTTAGCATTGTTTCATTATCAAAATCTTCATTTCACTTGGCCTTGTCTCTGGTTTCACCTCACGTCCTGTTGATAATCGAGGATCTTTGTTCTCTCATACGCAGAGCATGACGACATATGTTTGCCATCGGGATGCTAAATACCATGCGACAGTTTGCTATCAGATCAAGTTCCAATTGACGCAGCTGTTCCTCTCCTCTTACCGTCTACTTCAAATCACGTGCTGTTTACGACAGTACAAGGAGACGGGTAACTGGGGGCCCATACCCAGGTGAAAACACGTCGACTTTTTCAAAATCCTCGTTCTTTGCGATTCGTAAACCGCATTGATCTCTATGCCCATACAAATCTATTACTATTCCAAAAATCCTATAGAGCAGGCCGCCATTTTTTTACCCAGCCCCTTGGTCTCGTGTCAGGAAAACTGATAAATCTGCCAAGACGTTGTAGCTCCATCATGGGAGGAAGGGTGGTTACGCTTTTGTTTGACTAACCTGTATACACACTACAGTCCTCTCAGATAGTGAGACCGACAAATCCCACTGCACATTCTTCCGAGAACCGCCAGGTCTAAAAGCAGAACCAGCAGTGGTATGAATATGTTAAATATACTCGTATATATGGTTGTGTTGGGTCTGAGGATCCCACAGCGGTAGTTCTGAAGAGTTCTATCTGCTGGGATATAACTCTCTGTGGTCCGTTGAAAGTCGACCGACATTTCGGATGAACATGTCGTTTCTATCTTCAGGGTCAAAGAATAAGCAGAGCTACGTGCTTCATATAGATTTCTTCATTGCCCTTTTCGATCCTGAAGATGGAGGCGACATGTTCCTCTGAAACATGTGCTGACTATCTGCGGACTTTACGGCAATGTACCCTAAAAGATATCTTCATACAGTATACCATAGCAGTAAATTGTTGATGGTCCTCGCCAGCACAGTCACTCTTGGTTTCGGGCCCTGACGGGTCCCCACGGCCTAGTTTGTATTCCTTCCAAGACCATTTGTGAGTTTGGAAATGGGGCCCCCTCTTTGACACGAGGAGGGTTTAGCCTTTCTGTGTAGGCGCCACACCTGTTTGCACCGTAGTTCAAATCTTCGTGTATAATTCTACATACAGGGGTGAAACTTAAGGGAACCCATATACTGAGGGTCTTCGAAAACGGAGTGCTAAGGAAAATATGGGGACCTCTGGTATGAGGAATGAAGTAACAGGATACTGCAGAAATATGCATACCAGGAGGTTTAGATCTTGATTTCGTCGTCGAGTAATAGTAGGGTTATCAAATCAAGGAGGATGAGATGAGCGGGGCATGTAGATTGCATGGAAGAGACGAGAAATGTTTCAAGAAAGGGGTACTAGAAAGCAGGACTAGCGTAGGTGGAATTGACTGAGCTGCCTCAGGATATGTACCAGAGGCGGATTATTACAGACACGGCAATGGACCTTTGGGTTCTACGCCCTGTCTAATTCACTGTTCCCTAATCAGCTACATTACACATTGGACGTGAACTGTCTTCGCCCGATAAAACACTGGGATCGTGGGTTCGAATCCCACTTGAGGCATGGCTGTCTGTGTGCGTTTATTTTGTTTGTGCTGCCCTGTGTGTGCAGGTAGCGGCCTAGAAAGGTAAGCACTCCCACAACTGTGCTGTATGGATGATACAGTCATCAAACTGCTGTAGTGTGAAAGGATAAATTATGATGACCAGAGTCGCATCCTTGTAACACTATTCGACATGCAAACGAATCCCATTGATCCCGTCCNCTGGGATCGTGGGTTCGAATCCCACTTGAGGCATGGCTGTCTGTGTGCGTTTATTTTGTTTGTGCTGCCCTGTGTGTGCAGGTAGCGGCCTAGAAAGGTAAGCACTCCCACAACTGTGCTGTATGGCTGATATAGTCATCAAAATGCTGTAGTGTGAAAGGACAAATTATGATGACCAGAGTCGCATCCTTGTAACACTATTCGATACGCAAACGAATCCCACTGATCCCATCCTTCCGTACCTCAAAGTACCCTGAATTAACTAGATACAAATAAAACCAAATGTACTTGACTATACATATTGGACGCGCCATAGCTCAAGCGGTTAGTTGCTGGCTTCCCACCGCGGCGGCCCGGGTTCGATCCCGGGGCTGGTCAAATGGGATTTGTGGTGGACAAAGTGGCGCTGGGGCAGGTTTTCTCCGAGTACTTCGGTTTCCCCTGCCAATCTTCATTCCACCAATTGCTCCACAATCACCCTCACCTATCATCTTGGGCTGGTACAATAGGCCAGAAGTGGCCGCAGTACAAGGGATTTAGTCCCACCCCACTAGCAATAAAAAACTATAAATATCTGGCTGAGCCAAATTATTGTTTACATTACGTGAATACGGTCCGAATATCTGACTCTCTTGTAAATTGTTGCTGGCACTCACCAGCACAGTCATTATTGTTTCCGAGTCCCTAAGGACTCATGAGCATTCTTCACTGTCTAACGACACATTCCCGCATGTCAGGGTTAGGACGGCCCACATTTAGGACAAGAGTTTATAAATTAATATGGAAATGCATAACAAATATTTTTCACTACAAAACACTGTATGGAAAGGGTTAATCAGCGAATCGTGCAATCAGTATTAACTTTACTTACCTGGCTGGACGACATATTGTTCAGAATCTCCTCTTCCGTCCACCATTTTCGTTCCGTGGCCGGTTTTCACTGCACCTGAGCACACAAAAAGGCAATATTCAGAATATTGCTCAGGTGGTACGAAGGAAAGTGATCACATTCCCATATACCGAAGAGTCCCGCGGACGACGGTCTCAGTCAAGGGATGGTATTTGAAATTGACCACGACCGCTTCCTTTCAACACTCATTCATAATAATAATAATGAATAAGGGATGGAAGGAAGGTGTCCTGGCTCTGGTTATCCTCCCACAAAGCCAGGACAGCTCAGCCGGTGACTGGATACTGGTTGAACTGCTGGAATTCGATCCCAGGTAGTGACAGGTCTTTTTCTCTTTGTCATCGTGTTCAAAACGGCTGTGCTGTCCATACAGACAACGGGTTCTGCGCTAGAGAAGGGCCTTCTTTCACGCAAAACGGGTGGAGCGTGAAGCTGACCAGTCACTTCATTCGGTGACGAAGTTAAGATAATGTGGAATTTTGATTCCGCTTTGCCCATGCATTTTCTTTGTGTGGTGCTTCGTTATAGGAGACAACGTTATCTGAACTTCCTCTTTTACTTCGTTCTGACCTTGTTCCTAGGTGATCATAATTGGTTTGTATATATTGAAAAAAGAGCGACCTATGCACAAAGCTTTTTTTCGTTGCAGAAATAACAGAATAACAGAACGTTATTTCTGTGCAATTTGTTTCAGGAGTCGAGATACCTTTGTTGATATAGTGACTATGCTACGGGCTGGACGCCCGAGGAATCTGGGTTCGATTTTCTTCAGGGACATGAAATTGTTCTCCACAGCGTCCAGACCTGCTCTAAGACCCCTCAGCTTCCTATTCGGTGTTTACATGGGTAAAGTGGCCAGAGCGTAAAGCTGAGCACGCACCTGCACCTAGTGCCGAGGTGGCGTATTCGTGGATCTATACCTCCACTCCCACAACCGTCTTTATGGCGTGATGATCACGTGAGCAGAGGCGAAATTCTATATCCACGGCTCAGTTTAAGTGAAGAGGCGGAGAACACAGACTCCTGACAGAGTAACATAATAGAAAGGAAACAATTTACAAAGCAGCGAAACCTTCTGAGAGACGAAACTCTGTTTCATCTGAAAACCAAAAATATGTAGACAGGGCTGTGGATCAATTTGATTGTAAATGAACAGTGGCTATATCAGAATCCCTAAATTGATTTTTAAATATCATAAACTATAATAATGTGACTTTGTGGTTTGTGTGATTCAAACGATACGGGGCAGAAATAATGAATGTTCTGCGGGAAGGATATGCAGGCGCTGTTTGAGCTCTGAAGGCTACCTACCGCTGAATGAAATGGGAAGATACGTAATCCCAAATGATGAGAAGGTACTGTCACGTGTTTTAGTGACTCGTAGACACGCGGTTTGGATTAGTGAATAGATTTATTGGATACTCGCAAGTCATAACTGAAATAAAGGCTCTAAAGATTACTCTGACTATAACACGTCACAACTACAAATACAGAGTGTCCGGATAAAAGGTATCCAAAATAAAATAATTATACACTGATATATTGGGTTTTTGGACTTTATCCATCGTCCTGGTTTTTAAGATAACTAACTGGTCCAGTGATTGAGGCTAGCTCTTTCTAACGGACCCAACAGAATATGTGTTTCCTTCACCTGAGGACGGAAACAGATCCAGTTTCCGAAACGTCGTGTTTTTATTAGTTATCTTAAAAACCAGGACGATGG